GGCTGTTTTCTGTGTGGGAGATCAGTGGTATTGGTTCATGGTTGCTGTTTTGTGTAGCTGTCATTTTGCTGGTGATCAACTCTGCCTTCCTGGAATCTGAACTAACTGGGCAGAGCATGGCATTTCCCGTGAGAGGCCTTTAAACATCCTCTTCCACGGCAAGAGCTTGGGACTGGCCCATGAAACAACTCACGCTGGGTTCCATGTTGTCAAGGCTGTCATCAGGAGTCCTGGCCCCTGCCTCATGTCCCCATTCTGACACTTCATCCACAGCACCTGTAGACTCCAAGATCCCAATCAGCATTTCACCCCTGCACAGATAAGGCCGTGTATCACGCCTGGTCCCTCCCAAGGACTGAAGTTCATTTTCCTTTCTTACACCATGCCACACTGATCTAAGTCTCCAGATCTCAACTGATTATCGACTTCACCTGCTCATTCTTCTTCCTGCATCCCCTTTGCCCCCAGAAATCCGTTCTCCAGGCCAGGCGTGGTGGCTCACACTGTAATCCCAGCACTTTGGGAGGCCGAGGTGAGAGATTACCTGAGCCCAGGAGTTTGAGACCAGCCTGAGCAACTTGGTGAGATTTCCTCTCTACAATAAATCAAAAATTAGCTGGGTGTGGTGGTGCGCATCTGTAGTTCTAGCTACTTGGGAGACTGAGGTGGAAGGATCACCTGAGCCCAGCAGTTGGAGGCTGCAGTGGCCATGAGCGTGCCACTGCACTCCAGCCTAGGTGACAGAGTGAGACTCTGTCCGAAAAAAGAAAGAAATCCTTTCTCCATATTATGTCACTTTCTTGCTTGATTCCTTTCAATGGCTTTGAATTTAGCATAAAATCCAGATTTCTTACCAAGATCTGGGTCTCCAAGGGGTGGACTGGCCTCTTCCGGCCTCTGTACTCACACAGAGGTCACACTAGCCTCCTTCTTCTCCCCGCCACCCCCAATTCTTTCTCACCTCAGGCCTCCTTTTTCGTCTCCATGTGGGGGTCTCAGGCCCATCCACCAGCCTCCTCTGATCTCTGGCCCTCACCTCCTAGACCCCTGTGGGTGTTAAAACCCAGACACTTAGGAGCCAGATTTCTCAGTAAACCTCCGGGATATTATTCCATTTTTACACATGAGGAAAACTGAAGGCGCTGAAAACCTAAATACAGTGTCTCCAAGGTTATAAAACTAGGAAGCAGCACAGCTGCCTGGAACTCCGTAGACCCCACTCACAGTGCTCAGAAGGGCTCCGCTATTCGTTCCGCCTCTTGTTAAAAAGTTTTAAACAATTGTGACCTCATGTTTGGCTCTGGGTAGAGAGGGAGGAGAAGGAGAAAGTTATACCAGAATTCCAGGACAGGAAATAGACGTTTCAAGTGGTATTTTCATGATATTAATAGTTAGAAGAGTTGGAGTCAAGGCTGCCACTGGACCACTGATATCAAGGGCATGCCAGACAATAGTTGTTATTTCTCTGCATACACTTCAGCCTCACATAGTGGCATCCTGTAGCTAGTATCATAACTGAGTCACACACAATCCATCCACTGTGCTGTAAAGCCAGCTACATCTGCTTATGTTTCATTTTTTTAAGTGATCTAAATATAGGATTTAAATATCCAAATATGAAAGAATATTAAATCTGAGTGATGGATATGTTTGGGCTATTATATAGCCTGGGCAACATAGCGAGACTCTGTCTCTACAAAAGGAAAAAGAAAAAAAAAATAGTCAGGTGTGGTGGCCTGTGCCTGTAGTCCTAGCTACTTGGGAGCCTGAGGCTGGTGGATTGCTTGAGCCCAGGAGTTTGAGACTTCAGTGAGCCATGATCACACCACTGCACTTTGGCCTAGGCAACATAATGAGATCCTGACTCTGATACATATTGAGTTCTCATAAATCAGTAAGCAAAGAGTACACAGACCAATTAAAAAGGGAGAAAGGCCATGAGATGGAAATATGTAAAAGAAGAAATGTGGGCTGGGCTTAGTGGCTCAGCCTGTAATCCCGCGCTTTGGGAGGCCGAGGTGAATAGAATGCCTGAGCCTGCGGGTTCGAGACCCACCTGGGCAACTTGGCGAGACCTCATCTCTACAATAAAATCAAAAAATGAGCCGGGCATGGTAGCGCGCGCCTGTAGTTCCAGCTACTTGGAAGGCTGAGGTGGAAGGATCGCCGGAGCCCAGGAGGTAGAGGCTGCGGTGGCCGGGAGCAGCCACAGCACTCCAGTCTGGGCGACAGAGTGAGACTCCAACTCAAAAAAAAAAAAGGTGGGGAGGGAGAAAGGCAGGGAGGGAGGAAGGAAGATGATTCAGATGTTTATTCGACATTCAAGCAGAGAGACCAAATAGCAGTTGATTAAACCTGGAGCTCAGGGATGAAGTTCTGTGCTAAAGAAATAAATTTGGAGGGCATATTAAGTGTTTAAAGCCATAGGACTGAGTGAAATCATCTGCTGAAAGGGCAGGTCACTAGGAAGAGACAGGATGAAGCCCTGACTCTAACACATAGAAGCCCGGCTTAGAAGGAAGAGCTAGGAGGAAGGAGAGAGCTGGGAGCGTGTGGAGTTACAGGAACCACAACAACAAAGTGGCATTTACATCCAATGCCACTGAAAGATCAAGGGTCCATTAGGTTTGGTAGTCCTCTCAGAGGACTTGGTGACCTTGACAAGAACAATTTCAATGCTGCTGTAGGGATGCAAACCCAGATAAAAGTGGGTTGGAGAGTGAATAGGAGGTGGGAGACTGGCTATAACTCTTTAGAGAAGACCTTTTTGTTAAGAG